TGAAATGACTCATTTAACTTTAGTGGTCTTCCAACTCTTCAGTTTTAAAAAATTCCATCCTTACCAAGTCTCTCCAATTTGATACAATGTCAATCTCTCTAAATCCTTCAAACCAGCAGGCTGGATACCCACTCACAAAAAATTAAATACATAAGCGTTTTTGCTGGGAAAATGAAAATCCTAACATCTAACAATCTGTCCAACTGTGAATAGATTTTGACCTTAAGTTCTCTAGCTACATGCAATGGCTAAACTTTAAAGATTAGTAAACTGATGTAAATTTTTCTTTTTTAAAATTCAGTCAGCCACTTTGTCCGAGCAAAAACAGAAAACTGATCCAATGCTCTCTCCATATAAATTTCAAACAAATCATCTCAGATTACACGAAGAAATTTCATCTTATCACCTGACTCCCCCATGTCAGCATGACATTTTGAAACTTGCTGTATAGCTAACCTTACCATACCATCTCTATCATGGGGTAGACAAATGTGGACTGAAGAGGGCTGTTAAAAAAAAATAAAGTTGTCCCAAGCACTGGTCAGGCTATAGTTTTGATAGCATTTTTTATGTGGCAAACCACGATCTGGTGCATTAGTAGAGCAACTGCTTTCCATTATTCCTTCCTGACTCCATGAGTCAGGCCTTTTTCCATCATTAGCATTTACAACGGAATAACTCCAGAGGTCGATCTTTAGAAAACACTTAAAAACAAAGACCACAATAGGCGTTTTTAATTTTAAAGAATTTTAATACAAACTTAATATAAACTATTTCAGTCCCTCTTAACATGTAAGACACTGACTCAAAATACTTTTTTATACCTTTTTTTCAAGTATTGCACAATATAGGTACAAAATTAATATTTACGATTACATTTTTCTTCCATAATATATAGCAAAAATCTTTAAACTTTTAACAGAAAATACATTTTTTTGAAAAAAGCAAATATTCGTACATTTTAATTCCACCACTAAAGGAATATCCTGTACACAATTTTTAGAATAGTTGATGTCTTTAAGATGGATATTGTACAATTTCAGTAAAAAAAATACAACATGAAGCTGCTGCTGTCACAGATCACTGTAGTAAAAAGATATAAATGCAATACCATGTCGTAGAAACAATATATATATATCCTCTGATATTTTACAAACTTTGTACTAAATTAAATTATACAATTAGAAAAGACCAATAAACCCACTTATTAGTGCCAATTTTTATAAAAAAAAAATCAGCCATGTCCTTGCTATATCTTAAATACTGTAAGAGGCCATATCTGAGAGTATACTTTAAAATATACAGTCAGTATAAAATAACTTTGTGCTTGGTTGGCAAATGAAAAATGATGCATGTTTTATTATTATTATTTTTTAACCAAGCTTGAATGTATCCTTACTATAAGCTTAAAAAAAAAAATTCTCAAGGAGGTAAAAAAAAAAAACCAAAATCCCCCTTGGGCCCGTGCATTTTAACTTGTACGATACATTTTCTTTTTTTCAGTTAGCCATAACAGGCTGGAATTGCTGGTTAGAATACTGCATGTTATTTAAGCTAAAATTCAAGCCATCTACAAAAGACTTCTCATTGAGGCCTCCATAGGCCGCAAACACATCAAAGGCATTACTGTACTGGAGAGGACTGAGGTTAAGGGGGCTGTCACCTGGGAACATTCCATTGGTACTACTACCTTGACCCTGCATATTAGGAAAAATAAATTCCTTGGCATTAGGAGAAAGAGCAGAGGTTTTCTGCTGTTGTTGCTGCTGTGGTGGTGGCGGTGGCGGTGGCGGCTGGGCTGGCTGCTGCTGTTGCTGTGGCTGCTGCTGGCTGCCCAAGCCAAGCCCATACAGAGAGTGCATTGAGGAAGAGATGGCTTTCTGCTTCAAGAGGTCATTCACATTCAAGCCGAGGTTGATAGGAGAAGTACGTGCAACCTTGTTGCTACGGCCGCTATTCTTCATTTTGGTAGAGCCGAACTTGGTGGCAGCAAAAGTGGCAGTGGTAAAGGTTAAAGGCTGAGTGGACCGGGGCATGAAGGTAGGGCTTACAGCAGCAGAGTGACCAAAAGGAGGCGATGGAGAGCTGGACACTGATGAGGCTGGGTCACTTATGGGCATGAAAACCTGGGCCTCTGGGTTAAAGCTGTTTTTGATCTCCTTATCCAACTCACATCCATTTTCATTATTATCATCCACGTAAAGCACCTTCACTGGTCCCTTTTCACCAATTTGGTAAGAAACCTCAAATGGGTCGATCCAAACACTAAGATCCTGTGGCAGATTGCCACGAACATCATCAATGTCCAAACCACTCTCTTTGGATGCTTGTTCAATCACTGGGTCCACTTTCTCCCCTATGTGTATACATCTAAACCCCGATCCTTTGTATGGCTTTTCAGGATACCAGTGCCCTTCATATTTCTTCTTAAGAAGTCTTTCAAGTTCTTCACCAAAAATGTTGACACGTCTCCTGGGAAGCTTATTGTACAAATATGAAATAATAAAATTTAGTGCTACTTGGATTTCAAGCTGCATAGCTGCTACGCCACAAAATTAGGTTTCAACTCCCCCACCAAAAAAAAAAAATGTTCAGTTTGTGGCAGAGAAACAAATATTCATTCAAAGTGCTGGTATTAGTAGATTATCCTTCACCTTGAGTGATCTTGTTCCTTAAAACAAAACAAAAGCAAACATATCCAAATAAGATAAAGGTAATATAAGTCCCACGACCTTTCCCCCCACAAAGTAATTTCACCTTAAAAAATGTCTAATATCCAGTGTTAGTTTGCTAAGGATAAAAAGAAGAAGAAAATGTCTACTAGGACAGAAAGCCTGAAAACTGTAAATAGTACAAAATATAAAATAGAAAATTGTTGATTAAAGTTTAAAATCACACAGGAAAATGTAGATTTACAGATGAAATAATGTTTTTAAAAGCCTGTTTCTGAATAGAGTTCTAAGAAGAAATATCACTAGAACATGTATTCTTCTCCCCTCAATTCTCACAAGAATATTTATTGTACTCAGCATCCTCCCCCCATCCCCATATATATAGATGCCACTTTTAGGTAGTAATTTTTATTGTTATTCACCAACTTAGAAGTGAATCCACGTTTTAGTTTACTTTGGACATATACTATTTAAATCTGCTCTGTCATTGACATTTAAAAATCTGGTAAGTTAGGAAAATCATTTTAATTTCCATAGTACATGATGCTAAAATTAAAGACACTGAGTACTAAATGAATTTCATCCTAGTGAATAATTATGAACCAAATTATTCTATATAGTTTCGGCCTTAAGTATATAAAGAGCACACAATATAACAAAATCCAGCTTCTCTGGGTCTTTTGTTTTCAATGTGTATTTTTCTAAATCTGAAAATTCCTGTTAGGTAGCAAGTATAACAAAAGCAACGACACAAATTAAAACTATTGATTATTCTGTTTAAAGGCCAGGGTTTCTGAGTTTTAGTCTGATTTTTAAAAACCTCCGTCCGTCCTCCCTCCCTCCCTCCCTCCCACGGTAACAGCCGGAGAAGCAAGTATGGTAAGGTCGACCTTTAAACGTTTGCTGGATCAGCACTGGGTGGGGATAAGAAAAGATCAAGGGCAAACAGAAGATATTTGCGAAAGGGATCTATTTGCACACTGAAGTTGATTTAAAAGGACGTTTAAAAATCAAGTTGGTTTTAATTCGTCTGTTCTATTTTCCATATTCGTGGTAACAAAGGGAAAAAGAATCCCTGGCTGCCCCCAAACTAAAAACACTTTCCAAGTCAAAAGCCTGAGTGCCGGCAGAGGCAGCTGATTAAGCCCAATTGCTTGAAGGTGCAGCCAAGCAAAATTCAGGCTCGGTGGAAGGTAGTTACAAAGCAACGCCTTAAGACAGGCAGGAGTGTGAAGAATTACATAAACAGCCAGTTAGATCTCATTAGATTTCTGCTCACAGCCCTCGGAGCCCAAGCGCTACAGCAGCAGCAACAGCAAGAGGAGGTGGAGGTGGAGGAGGAAGAGAGTACGAGCCTCCTAGGAGGAGGAGGAGGAAGGCCCGGGAAATGGAAGAGCAACCTCTCCCGGCTGGGCATCCAGCACCGAGCAGGTCGGGGCGCCGGGTCAGCCGCTCCCCTCCCCCGCCGTAACCCGACCCGCCGCTCCCCGCCCCCCGGCACCCGCCCCGGGCTCCTGGGACCCGGTCAGAGCCTGGGGGAGCACCGGTTCCCCGGCACCATTTTCAGCCTCGCGGCCACCGGCCCCTCGAACCCCAGCGTTCCACCGCGAGCTCGTCGCTCCCCTGGGCGCCCCAACCCCCCGATTCCCGTCAGCACGCCCCGGGCCGCCCGTCCCCGGTCAACTGCCCGAGCCGAGCCCGACGCGTCGGTGGCCCCTCGGAGCCGCTCCCCTCGGGTCCCGGCGCTGCCCCCTCGGCGCCCAGGGCCGCGACCCCGCCGTCCCCGAGCTCCCGAGGGCCCGGAGCTCGACGCCGCTGCAGCCCCTCCTCCGCCGCCTGGGCCCGGGGCTCCTGTCTCCTTGCCAACCCCGCCCGGCGCCCCGAGATACTTACGGGCTGCTTCGGGGCGGCTTGGACCACAGACCCGCGGCTGGGCGGGGAGCAGCGCGACAGGGCGGGGGCGCGGGAGGGTCGGGAGCGGCGAGCTCGCCGAGTGCAAGACGTCGCCGCTGCGGGGCTGAGGGCAGAGGACGGAGGCCTCGGGCGGGCCTTGGGAACTCGCCGATGGTGGCTCGGGGTGGCGGGCACGGGGGTCAGACGAGCGCGCTCACTTCTCCACACAGCCCGGTGCCCGGCCCAGCGTCCCCGTAGTGCGCCCGCTCCACGCCGGGCCAGAGCTTCGCTCCTTCTGCCGCGGCGCGCGCCCCGCCTCTCGTTTTATGGCCTCCTCCCCGCCCCCATCCCCCTCCGTCGAGGTGCGCGCGCCCGCCAAGCGTCACACAGCTCCCGCGGCGCAGCCATTCCCCGCGCTCCCCGCCCCGCACCCCGGTCCCCCGCCGGCCGGCTCCGCCCCTGCCCTGCCCCCCGACGCCATTGGCCAAGTCCCGCCTGCCCCTGTCCGGACGCGCGGTGGACGCAGGGGTGGGGAAGCCGCACCCTCCGGGCTCCAGGAGGGCCAATGAACCGACAATCGGAGCACTGGGGACGGAATGAAGAGAACGTTTGGAAAGGGACTGTGGGGGGAGACGTGCCAAAGAGAGAAAGGGGTGGGGTAGGGCGGCTGACGCCCGGTTTAGGCGGAGAGCGCCGGGCAGAGGGGGAGGAGGGCGAAGCCGGTGGCGAAGCGGCCAAGGAGAACCGGGGCTGGAGGAGCCCAGGACTCCGGGAGGGCGGCAAGGGTACCCAGAAAATGCCCTTTCCGCGTGGGGCTGCAGCCAAGGAGGATTCCCGCTCGTGGAATAGCTACTAAATCAGCCTCCAGCCCACCCCAGGGCGGGGTAGAGAAAGGGCAAACTGTGACCGGGATTCGTGCACCCGATTAATTGAATATTAATCACCCTAAGGCCTAGGCCAACCGCCACCCAGACAGTGGCAGCTGCAGAACCCAAAGCCGTGGAGCCGGGCTGGGGGTGGGGAAGGGAGGCCGCCACAGCTCCCGCCCCGCCGGCAGTTTAACTGCTTCCGCAGCCTCAGGCCTCCCGGTGAGACCCTGGCTGCGACTCGGATCCGTTTATTCCAAATGTCCCAGCCCACGCCGTGCCCAGGGTGTGGCGACACGAGGCCAAATTGCGTATCTGTGTCCATGTCTACACACACACGCATGTGTGCATTTCTAGGGCTTGCTGGAACGCAGGTGCACAGAATAAACGCGGTGCCTGCCTGTAGAGTGCGTTTAAAATCATTCTCTGCTGAAATATGTGCGGGTACCTAGGGAGTGGGGTAAGAGAGGGACTCGTGGCGGGGGGCGGGTAAGTGCCTTTTTCACAACCTGCCCCAGAGAAATACACGAAATTACATCGAGAGTGGAATCGAGCGTCCCTCTCAGCTAAAAATACTACTCACAGGTAGCAACGACGCCTGATTGGCCGCGCTGGTCCCTTCGCAACCAAGCGATTGGCTGCCTGGTATCCAGGAGACCGACGTCAAACTCCGACTGGGAAAAGGGGAAAGTTGGCGGGGAACGAAGGAGGGGATGGGGAGAAAGAAGCAATGAATGAAACGCCCATCGCCTGGCCTTCCCCTTTCCCCTTTCCCCTTTCCTCTCCATTCTTGGAGCACTTCCTGGGAAAACACCCGTTGGGGCGCCGCCTTCCCCTCCAAACGGGGCCTGCACTCTCAACCTGCTATAAGGAAGTTAAACCGCAGCTCACCGAGGAGTAGAGTGTCTACGGTGCGGGCCCGTGTAGACCAGCTGTGCTCCTCGGGCACAAACCCGCTGTACATGTCAGGCCTAGAAGCTTTCGGCTTTATGGACGCAAAATCTGGTTGGAGCCGCCTTCTCCACCCTGACTCTCGCGCCTCTCCCTTTTAGAAGGAACCGCATTGAGAAAGGGTATTTCTGAAGGCTCAATGCGTAGGAGAAGGGGAGGGAAGATGGGTTTGTGGAATGGGCTGAGGGTGGGGAGTGATCAGGTGACTTATTTCATGTTTATTGTACAAATTCCTAAAACATAGTTTTACTAAGTCCTTAAATTATGATTAATGTGATTTTTTTTTTTTTTTTTTTTTAGTGTTTGGGTTTTTTAGTTGCAAACAAGAGTGGAATTGAACTGTGAAAGTATGGCAAAACTGTGAAAGCATTTAAATGAAAATGTCCCTTCCTCTGCATTGAAATGTCATCAAAACGTCAAATATAAATGATTTGTTCAGTTTTATTATTTGTTTGTTTTTGGTTTTCTGTAATGACAATTCCATCTGTAATAAAAGTGAGTTAAATTTTCTAATTAAGCACAGAAATTTCAAGAAACTAGATAGGATATTCTTGGAATGCCTTATCAAAAGAAACACTTAATTTTTCACGTGTTCTAGAAGCACAACTTCTCTTACCGTTAGGCAAATAATGGTACTATACTAAACATCTAGAATTGCGGGACCATGTGTGTTGATTAGTAATTTTATATTTGGGGGCTGCAATATTAGGCGTGGCTGAGATTAAAATGTCTAAAGATACATGAATTGTAATTTTGTCAAACTTATCTGTACTTTTCAAGAATTCTCTCAAGAGAAGGTACAAGTTCTCTTTTCTGAATGTCTTCAATCTGTAATTCCAGGTTTAAAATATGAGAGCAGTCATCTGATAGGTACTGATTAAATATCAGTAGCATTAAAAGCATTTTTAAGTCAGAAATGTAGATGTCAAAAATTTATGAGTTATTGCTGCTTAGCCCAGGAGTGTAAGAAGATGTCTGACCAAATATAAACACACACACAAACACACACACACACACGAAGGCCCCATGGCATACTGGAAAAAGCAATGAAGGGTGGGTACTGGGAGATCTGAGTTTCACACCAGTTTCTATCAACTTTTAGTTTTCTCACCTATAAAAAGGGTTGAATTAGATCATGTCTAATGTCTCCTTCAATTAAAAAAAATTCCACACTCGGCTGGGCGCAGTGGCTCATGCCTGTAATCCCAGCACTTTGGGAGGCTGAAGCGGGAGGATTACCTGAGCTCAGGAATTTGAGACCAGCCCGGCCAACATGGTGAAACCCCATCTCTATTAAAAACACAAAAATTAGCCGGGTGTGGTGGCACACGCCTGTAATCCCAGCTACTTGGGAGGCTGAGGCAGGAGAATTGCTTGAGCCCCGGAGACCGAGGTTGCAGTGAGCTGAGATCGTGCCACTGCACTCCAGTTGGCCGACAGAGTGAGACTCTCTCTCTCAAAAAAAAAAAAATCTGCCCTTAAAACTCAATGTTCCTAACATATATAATGCAGCTCTTTTTTCAAATACAGATTGCAAGGCCAAGCGTGGTGGCTTATGCCTGTAATCCCAGTACTTTGGGAGGCCAAGGTGGGTGGATCACCTGAGGTCAGGAACTCGAGACCAGCCTGACCAACATGGAGAAACCCTGTCTCTACTAAAAATACAAAATTAGTCAGGCATGGTGGCGCATGCCTGTAATCCCAGCTACTTGGGAGGCTGACACAGGAGAATCGCTTGAACCTGGGAGGCAGAGATTGCAGTGAGCCGAGATCACGCCTTTGCACTCCAGCCTAGGCAACAAGAGCAAAACTTTGTTTCAAAAAAATAAAAATAAATAAAAATAAATATATATATATGGACTGCAAATACAAGGGAAAACCGATTCACATCTCTGAACAATGCCAGCCAGTCACGAGGTATAAAATGTTCTTTATCCAAGTTTGCATATGGCTTATTACTATCTAACATTTACTTTGGAATTGTGCAGGGGAGTGGAGGGCTAACTGCTAGTTGTGCAGGGAATTAGACTTATGGAGGAAGAAAGAATTTGATATTAGGCTCCAAGTGTATCACAGTCAAGAGGTATTCCTCTCAGCAAATGATAGTCACTAGAAACTACAGCCTTTGCCTTTCACATCCCTACATTCTACACAATTCCCAGTGGGCCCTTACAACAAAGGTAATCGTTTGATAAAAAATAACTTCCAATATCTTTGTAAAATACAGTTCTTGAAAATGCCTTGAATTATTACCTAATCCACGCAAGGACACACACACACACACCTTGACTTCTGAGATAGAGACATCCTAAGCTTTCTAATTCTTATGTTTCCCTGTAAATTGAGACAGGGTTACAGGAGAATAGCTATCACATGGTGTGTAATTATTAAGACTCATTTTTTGTTTGTTTGTTTTTTGTTTTTTGTGATGGAGTCTCACTCTGTCACCAGGCTGGAGTGCAGTGGCACAATCTCGGCTCACTGCAACCTCCGCCTCCTGGGTTCAAGTGATTCTCCTGCCTCAGCCTCCCAAGTAGCTGGGATTACAGGCGTGTGCCATCACTCCCAGCTAATTTTTATACTTTTAGAAGAGATGGGATTTCACCATGTTGGCCAGGATGGTCTCAATCTCTTGACCTCGTGATCTGCCCACCTCGGCCTCCCAAAATGTTGGGATTACAGGTGTGAGCCACCGCGCCCAGCCGACTCATTTCACTTCTAAGGAATCAACCTTTTACCTTTATTTGAAAATTAGACAGGCAGGGTGAGGTGGCTCACATGCTCATAATGCCAGCATTTTAGAAGGCTGAGGTGGGAGGATCTCTTGAGACCAGGAAGTCGAGACCAGCCTATGCAGCATAGTGAGACCCTGTCTCTATTTTATTTTATTTTTATTTTTTAAATTAGCTGGGCGTGGTGGTGCACACCTGTAGTCCCAGCTACTTGGAAGGCTGAGGCGGGAGGATCTCTTGAGACCAGGAGGTCGAGGCTGCAGTGAGCAGCACCACTGCACTCCAGCCTGAGCAACAGAAGGAGACCTTGTCTCAAACAAACAACAAACAAAAACCCATAATGTTCTTATCGTGATTTTTATTTATTTCTTTTTAGACGGTCATGCAACATAAATCATAGCACATACATTTTAAAATTATTATTTTTTTTTGAGATGGAGTCTCACTCTGCGCCCCGACTGGAGTGCAGCTCACTGCAGCCTCCCGGGTTCAAGCGATTCTCCTGCCTCAGCCTCCTGAGTAGCTGGAATTACAGGCATCTGCCATCGTGCCTGGCTAATTTTTGTATTTTTGTAGAGACGGGGTTTCACCATGTTGGCCAGGCTGGTCTTGAACTGCTGGGATGACAGATGTGAGCCACCGTGTCTGGCCTAACATTAACTTTTTAAATCATGCGCTAATCATTGAGTTATTGAAAACCAAGTAAACCAGTTCTTTTCTAAACATTTCTCAAAAAAAGGCAATCCAGTTACGTCTGAGGAAACCTCAGTGTGGTTTCCTGTGGCTTTTCACATGGGTTTGTAGTGGAGGGCTATGTAGTCTCCAGAAGACACTGGCACACAGACATTTGTAATTAAAAGATAACTAGATAACATTGAACAAGCCTACTAAAGCAACGTGGTCTGATAGGAGAATGTCTCCTTATAATTTGCTCACTTTCTACTATCTTGATGAACAAAATCCAAACCAAATATTGCAATTTCTTTCCATTAGCCAAGGAGGAAGATTTTGATTTCAGTAAAGAGATTATAGTGCAGATTCTAGGAGTGATACAGTGTTCATGACATTCTAAGTACAAAGAACATTTATATAAAGTAATCTGAGAGCAAATGTTATTAGAGTACTTTAAATACATTTAAAGCATGGGTTGCATATGTTATTATGCAGCTCTGCTAACTAAAATAGAATGTAATTTTATATATATAACCAATTGTGGCAGACACTGTTGCCAGCTCACCCGTTTCCCATGTCCCATCCTCATTCCCCTGTCTTCCTAAGAGGCTAGAAGAGCTAAATGCATGTTTTCCCAGGCTTCATTGCAGGAGAGGTGGCATTGTGACACTGTTCTGCAGATAAGACGTAAACAGAAGTCAGCTGGGATGGTTTCTGAGAGTGCTAATGCTTTTCTTATCAGAGGGGTTTGTTCTAGTTACTGCTGCTGCATGAAAAACTATCCAAAATACCCATTTATTGTGGCACAAAAGGTCCATTTTATTAAACCCTTGGATCCTGTAGGTAAGAAATTCAGGCTTGGTCTGGCGGCTCATGCCTGTAATCCCAGCACTTTGGGAGGCCAAGGAGGGCAGATCACTTGAGGTTAGGAGTTCAAGACCAGCCTGGCCAACACAGCAAAACCCCATCTCTACTAAAAATACAACAAAATTAGCCAGGCATGGTGGTTTGTGCCTGTAGTCCTAGCTACTCAGGAAGCTGAGGCAGGAGAATCACTTGAATCCAGGAGGCAAAGGTTGCAGTGAGCCAAGATAGTATCACAGCACTCCAGCCTGGGTGACAGAGAGAGACTCCGTCTAGAAAAAATAAATTCAGACAGGGCACAAGGGGATGGATGGCTTATCTCTGCTCCACAATGTCTGGAACCTCAGCTGGAAAGACTCAAATGCTCAAGTATCATCTGAAGCAGGTCTAACAGAACTTCCTCCAGTGATGGGAATATGCTGTATCCATGCTGTCGAATATAATAGCCACATGTGGCTCTTGAGCACTTGAAATGTGGCCAGTGTGACTGAGGAACTGAATTTTTACTTTAATTTAGTTTTAATGAAATTTAGATTTAAATAACCACATGTGGACAGCAGCTTCTGAATTGGACAGCACGGATCTGGAGGCTTTTTCAAAGCACATGTCTAGCACCTGGGTTGCAGTGACTCAAGGGCTGGGCTTAGTTGGCACTGTTGTTTGGAGCATTTCCACATGGCCTCTGAATTTCCCCTGTGGTTTGGGCTTCTTACAGCGTGGCAGCTGAGAGGAAGCAGAGGAGTTTCTGGAGAGTGAACTTTTTACAAATTAGAACAATTTTTTTTTTTAAGTTTTTTGTAGAGATATGGTCTTCCTGTGTTGCCCAGGCTGGTCTCAAACTCCTGGCCTCAAACAATCCTCCTGCCTTGGCCTCCCAAAAAGCAGTGGGATAATAGGCACGAGCTACCCTGCCTGGCCACCATGGAAGCTGCCCCCATGGAAGCTGCATGGCCTTTTATGACCCAGTCTCATAAGTAACAATGCATCACTTCCATTATACCCTAATGGTCAAAGTTACCACCAGCCAGATTCAAGGGGAGGGGACATAACCACCACCTCTCAAGGAGGAGTGCCAAAGAATTTGAGACCATTTAAAAAAATCACCACTGGGTCACTTCTCCCTTCTTCCTGCCTTGAACATGGATCTCATGGCAGGAGCTGCAGCAGCTCCTGCTGAATAAACCATGAATAAAATGCAAGTTAATCACAGGGATAGGGGTTCTCACCAATGCTAGTCACTGCCTAGGTCTGGTCTGCTTTTTAACCAACATTAAGTGTTCCATGACTTGCAGCTGAAGTATTTTCAGCAAAAACACTAATTTTACATCTTTTAAGGAAAACTGAACTTTTCAAAAAAGCCAAAATAAATTTTTTTCCTCTAGTCTAAATTATCAGGGCTTCTTTCTCATTATAAAACCTGGAAATGCTCATTATAGCAAATTTGGAACACATAGAAATAAAGAAGAAAATAGCAATCATCTTT